TTGAATCAGCTATCTGTGCAGAGCGGTGGGCTTGACATCATCTTACATAAGACAGCAAGCACCTCTGATTATGGGATGGGGGGTGGGGGGGGGCAGAGGAGTAACTGCAAGAGTAAATGGGGGATGGGGGCTTTGTGACAGTGCAATGCACAGCACATGGATGCTTTCCAGAGAGTCAGAGCATGCTACACTCAAGCACAAAGACATGCTTATGCAACAGCAGAACTACTGCAGCTGTTAAAGATATAGTGGGCAGGAACACCGTTCCCTGTGTGGCACAATACAGGTCTGCTCCTCCCCTCGCATGTATTCACAATACAGCTCATGGGAAGACTTTCACATCTACTTAGACAGCAGTAAGAGGCCTTGGATAGATTTTTCCATAACGTAGCATCGTGTTTGCTACGAGCAGTCTCTCTAATTTCAGTTGTTATTTCTCATGCCCACGCAGAGACCTGACACAGAGCCAGGCACCTGCACAAAAGACGCTAATCTCACCAATGACAAGAGACAAGAATGAAATTTACGAGTGAGGTTATGTGGCAACAATGGCAGGAAGCCCTGGCAGAGAGACAGCAAAATAACGGCTGCAGCGAAAATAATCGAGGGGCCGGAAATGTTGGTGTGTAGATAAGACTGGTGTGACCTTAAGAGAGCCAAAACATCCACACAGCTACTGTAAGAGAATTCATATTGTGTATATTATGAACTTTGGTGCTTATGATTTCCACAAATTTACAAAGTGCTACAAAATAAAAGTCTGTACGAAACATCCTGACACGTTATTTTAAGAGCCTTTCTTTTACTGAAGACATGTTTCAGGCTCACAGAGTCAACATTAATGTTAATACCAACACTTGTGTTTTTCCTACTATGGCAACTGCTGTGAGCAACAGAGACTACTAAAGCCATGCTGGCACACTGTGAGTGCATGATTTGATGGAGGTTTGCTAGTTCACACACACACAGGACAGCGTATCATCGGCAGCTCTAACTGGTTGTTTCACCTTGTTTTATTTCTTGCTGCAGGCCTAATCAAGGGAACAAATAACGAAAACAATTGTGGTTTGCTGGTCTAACACCTGATTTATGCTTCAGCAGTAAGTCTACGCCGTAATCTACAACGTAAGCTGATGTGCACCCTCATCAGGTTGTAGCACAACATTAGGTCGATGCAGCCCGCAGCTATTGTAATTGTCCTGTTCAGCAGTGTCGATTCTTCCTGTGCACTTCCAGCTACTTTTTCACTGCAGTGTTTTAATTTATCAGTAACAGAATAATAATTATCAGCTCAGTAAAAGGAATTATAAGGTTATCGGTTCTTAGACTCTCACTACAATCAGCTGTGTCTCTAGCAGGAAAAAAGTGGCATAGTTTACATTAATTTTATTTTTATTACACTATAGAATGAGAGCGCGATGGTAAAGTGGAGACTGCTCCAGGACAGAAACAACTGCTAACACCTTGCACCTGCACAGACAGCATGCCAACACTAAGCTAGCCAAGAGCCCAGAGTGATGTTAAAGCTGAGTAAATGCTGACCCCAGCCCAGCACTGCGATAAAGTGAGCCGTCATTTGTGGTGAAATCAGCCACTGCTGAACTTCAAAGGGTAACAAACTGAAGCCTGCAGCCTCCATTTCTACCTGTTCATGTTTCTAAAGTAGAATCACCGTGGTGATCTCTTTAAAGTGCTGGTTTTCATCTTCGCTCTGTGCTGTCGGCTTTTTTTTTATACCTAAATTCAAAGAAAAAAGATCATGAGTCTACTCATATAGGTAGATAAGGTGTTGGTGTGTGGGGCCGTAGCCTGTAGGTTTATATTGTTAAAGAGAGGGAAGAGAAATACCTCCAACAACCACAAACTTTTCACCACGAAGCATGTAATGATTTGCATGAGTGTAAAGTCACTGATATGCTGCTTAGAGATGGTGGCAACTCGCAAAGTGGAGCCAATGAGAATTGATAAGTGATATTGACAATGGAATCGGAATAGCTAAATTCCAATCAATTCCCATCCCTACTCCTTGTAAGGAGGAATTTAATACTACCGTGTTTTGTATTTTATCTAAATGGTCTGTTTCATAGGATTCACACAAAGAATCCTGAATTTTGTTGGAGTTGTTTGTTGTTGCTTTCTTTTCTTTCTTTCTTTTTTTTTTTACCCCAGGGTCTTGTTTTTAAGGTGTGATTTATCTGACAACTGAGGCAAAGGCCACTGTATACAACATAACACCAAATATTGCATGTTTTTGTTGAGTGAAGTGAGGGGGCTCATGCAGGATTAATGCCAGACTAAGCAAACAGATGATGAAGTCAACTAGAGCAGAGGCTATGGATAGCTATAACCCTCAGCAAAGACACTATTCATAGATTTAATGCTGACTGGTAAAAAGGTTGGCCCGAACAAAAAGAAACATCAAAGGAGAAAAAAGCATGAATGAGGACAACAAACAGTTGCTGCAGTGGACAGTTTACAGCTTACATGCTGGGACCTTCTCATCATGAGTACGTCAGTGGCCTGTCTACAGTACAAACACATGTGAGGAGCCATAACATGACTGGCTGAGAACACAAACATTTATGGTCTCGTCACTGACGCATTTACAGCATCCAAACTGTAGAAAACCTTTAATTTTTTTTTTTTTGGGGGGGGGGCTTTATTTTCACTTGCTTTATGTCAGTTACAGTGGATATCAGTGAAATCCTGATATCCAAGACAGATTTAATAAAATAAAAAACAAACTTTCATAAGTGCGATAAGTCTGACGGCATGACTAAACCAGACAGAGCAGCAGTGGGAGAGTCATTTCTGAGTCAGTGTTCACTTAACTTACCATCTAAATCACTCAAAGCTGACTCACCTGTCATTTGAGGTTAGCCGAAACCCTAACTTGCACAAACTGACTAACTTTACCTTTAGTTTACCTTTAACTGATAAATCAATACTGGTGGCTTTTTAAGTATTTACCTTCAAGAGAGAAACTTTTATAGATACCTTGTGGATCACCAACAGACTGAAATACCTACTTGATCCGTTCAGGTTTGCATAATGTGCTGTCAGGACACCACATGACTACAAAGGATCGTTTGGGATTACGTAAGAGTTGACAACCGGACATAAAGAAAACGGAACCCATAGACAGAAGCTTGAACTGTTTGGCAGCTCTGCTCTTTGACTTCTGGACCTGATTTATCTAAGGCCAAAAGCTTAGCTAACTTTCACTTAAACAGTGTAATCTCAGTGAGCCAGTCTTACCAGAGCATTATCTGGAAAAAGGTCTCAGTGCAGCCCATCTGACGTCAAAGCAGCAATGGCAGTAATCAAATCAAAGTTTCACCACATAATCTGCTGTTTGGTTAATTATACTTTTTCATCCACAAGCAAAAGTGCACACGGTCCTCAGTGGCGAGTGACAGATGCAGGGAGGCAGAGAGAGGCAGGGGAGATGCACTTACAGATGGGCTGTGGGAGTTTGCAGTGCTGAGTCAGATGTTGGAAATTGTTCCAGTTCTGCTTTTTCTTTCTTTAACATGTGACAGATCTGTTTTCTCAGAAGGTGCCTGGAGACACGCTGACTGGTTCTTTTCGGTGGTACTAGCATAACAAAACTGTATCTCCAAACAGACTGTCAGAAATCAGGTAATATACACAGCGACCTCCCTTCAACCAAAGCCCTATGGGAAAAGTGAGGAGAACAGAGTCTCACAGGAACCGCGTGTGTGTTGGAACCAGGTTAAAGGGTAGACGGGAGTCAGAAAGCACTCAGAGTTCAGGTCATTGTGCTTCTTCAAACAAATAAAATCATCATAACACATCACACGGAGACATAACAACGAAAGGCAATGAAATAACACAGCTCTGCTCGGTGGAATCGTTCCGTGTGAACGAGTTCTGTTAGCAGTAGATATAGTAGAGTGGACGGCCTTCAGATAAGAGGTTCAGATATTTTCTCCCTAAATTTTCATTCCTAACAGTAAGATAGTCACACTATTTTATTTTCATTTCCTAATTGTTATCTAACACCTGTTACAGGAAGGTTTTACTTCCAGTATCAGTGGATTTTTAGCTTTTCAAACTGCTTAGCTTTAGCAGTTTGAGCAGTTTGAGTTTGTTTTTTTATTTATAAAAATACGTGGTGGTGGGGTTCTTTGTTGTTTCAGATAAAAGAAGGAAGTATGTTATTATATTTAACTTCATACCTAGCGTTTCCTTTCAGTTTCTCAATTTTAATAACCTTGGTTAATCACAATGCCTTTGGAAACATATGTATGGACTGGGTAAGTGTCTGTAAAGGGAAATGAGAGCACTGAAGCTAATATAGCCACTCACCAGATCCCTGTGGAGCACCCAGTTGGCATGGAGGTAATGGATCCCATCCAGGATCTGATACAAGAGAGACTTCACCATCCCTCGGGGCAGCTGCATAGGCTTCTTATTGGCCTTGGAGGCGCGGTGGAACTTGATGATGTGCTGTGAATCAAAGCAAGGGTTTGCCTCACTTATGCATGCCTCATCAGATGGAATAAACACAATATCTACAAAACCACCTCCAGTTGTCTCCTTTTCATACTTTCCCCAGAGCAACAAAAATATGAGTGAACAAATAAAACATTTGTAACAATCCAGAGACACTGCGGCTGCTGTTTATACACAATATTAACGGTTTAGGGCACAGTGCTGAATCTTAATGTAAACATCATTAGGTAACCGTTTCTGTAGCACGAGGTTTTCTGTCATTCATTAATCATATGAACAGTTCTTGCTTGCAGTAATGGCGCAGAGAGACTCACCCACAAGTCGTGTTCGGCGTAGTCAAAGAGGAGCCAGACCTTTCTGTCGCTGTGGGACAGGAACACTTTCTGGAGGGCGATCACATTTGGGTGTTTCAGTTCTCGTAACAGCTGGAACACACAGTGGACTGATTAATGTTTGATGTCAGGTTTGTGCATCACATATGCTCATCTGATAACGATGTAACAAGTGGCGAAAAGCACGAAATCAAGAAATAAGAGCTGTCGTGACAGAAAAAAAAAAAATCTTGAATTGCCCCCAAAAAAGAATGATGGGTAATTATATAAACCATTTGGAGCCTTTTATGCAAAAGCCCTTACAGTGCTATGGTTGAATGAGATGAATATCTGAAATGAGACACCCAACAGTTGATAAATGTCTCATTTATTTTGTCAATGCTCTAGAGATTATAGCTTAGTCTGGCCGCAACGTCTGCATTTGTGATTAGCATGATTTCTTTATGCAAAGCATCCATAAAGAACAATCATCTGTCACTTTGACAAACTCGTGCCTATAACTCTGCAAAGAGTGGACAGTGAATCAACAGTCATGCGTACAGTATGACATGATATCTTTGGATGATAGATGACTATCATTTAGGCAGTGAGTAATTCACTTATGATGAGATGATTAGCTTTGATTAGCTTTCTGATTGTATTCGTCAAATGGCACTGTAGAAAAGTTAAATATGCTTTGTAATGCATCCCTTTGGGGAAGATTTGAAGGGATAAATAGGTTCCCATAGATTCAGTGAGATACCTGTAAGCTACTTCAGCTTCATGCTAGTGCATGTCGTGGAGAATGTAAGCTATGGTTTAATAGCTACAATTTATAGATATCCCTTAAATGTCTCAAATACAGCTCATGAGCAAAGAGGACAGCTCTAAGCACTGAATGTGACTGTGCTTGTGTTGTGGGTCGGAGTGTTTTCAAAAACAACTCATTCAAACTACATGAACGAGTAACCAAAATTTACAGGACACCAAAGATAAGAAAAAAAGAAAAAAGAAATAAATACACCTCCAGCTCTCTTTGTGACAGTTTGTGTTTAGACCATTAAAGTGTTGAAAGGTTTTCGATATTTTTTCTTTTCTTCACCGCTCTTCAAAATCCATCTGAGGCTTCAGACTTAAATAAAAACCAAAATTAGGTCTAGGGAAGCATCAATCCCACTTTTTTTAGTTCCAGTATAATACAGATGACAAATCAGAAAACACGGTTTAAGCTTGATGTTGACTTAAATATAAAGGACTGATTATCAGTCTCTTGCTCAAAGATGTCAGATCAGTATTGGAACCCTCCCTTTGTGGTCCCACTTTAGTTGGGTAAGTGGTTAGGAAAAATGATGGATCAATTTACATATTAACTCATCATATTAACTCAAATCACATTCGCTTGACCTGATATATACAAATAAAATTATATTTAGTGATATTTGCATTGGCTAGAAGTTTCAGGGACCAAAGTGTGATTAGTGTGAACGGCTGGCTGACACAGTGCACATTTCCACATCATTCAAGCGCTGCTACTTTAAGCAGCTCATTGATTTCACCAACTCCCATTTGGACTATCCTATTTGCTGACCCATCATGGAC